TGTCGATGACGTGTCGATGATGTGTGATCCAAATCACTTATAATTTTATAATTATTTACAATTCAATATCCACGTCAATTATAATGAAATTCACGTTTTTTAATATTTTTTCGGAGTGTTTGCTTCGTGTTTCTTCCTCTTTTTTTTTCGAAATGTTTGCTTCGTGTTTCTTCCTCTCAGCGGTAATGGTCCCCAATAGGGTTATCACAGGGCTTGGGAGGGGAACCAGTGAGGAGCAAGATGCGGGGTTTACCTCTCACGAAATTAGGGTATTCGGGGTTTTGGAGGAGCCAAGCCTTGCGTTCTTCGTCCCAATTGCGGATCTTGGGGCCCAGGCTGTAGGTCACGTTAGGGTTCAAGGGGGCTTACTCGTCGGGGTCGTTGGGGTCGGCGTCGAAGCGGATCTCGGCCAGGATGCGATTGGTCTCCTCCACGAGATTCTGGTTGACGGCGTCGGCGTCAGAGGAGCCAAGGTTGACGCCGATGGTGCCGTGGAGGACGAGGATGTCGTCAGAGACAAAGGTAACCTTGGAGGAGTCATGGTCGACGGTGGAGAGGAGGGAATAGTGGAGGGCGGAGGAGGAGGGGAGGGAGGAGTGGTAAATGGCTGTGGCGAGGGAGTTCAAGAAGTAGGGAGAGGGGTTGAGGCGGAGGGGAGGGGAGGGGAGTGGGAGACGGAGGGGCAAGGGAGAGGTGGGAGACGGAGGGGAGAGGGAGAGGTGGGAGACGGAGGGAGGGGAGAGGAGATTGTATAATTATAAAAATTAATAAAAACTTAAAAATAAATAATGTAAAAATTTAAATATAAAATAATTTTTATTTAAAAGGTTGACATGGTATTTGACATGGTATTTAGATGATGTGTACATATACACATTAGCTACAGTACCAAAACCCCTCATTTATCAGGGTACAGTAGCAACTCCCTTTCTCAAGAGATTCTATCATACCATGTATGTTGTAGGCATAGAGGTGTCAATGTCATAAAATACAGGGAAGGGGTTGTTAAAACATTTAAAATTAAACATATATTAGCTTAATTATTTTCTTAGTAATGAATTATATATTTAAATATGTTTTTAATTTTTTTATGCGGTAAATTTTTGTTTTATTTTCTCTTAATCTAAATCTTAAGTTTAATCTTTAATCTTTAAATTTAAAAATTTTCTCAATTTTAAACCTCAATTCAGTTTTTATTAAATCTTAATTACAAATTCAAACACTAAATTTCTAAAGAAGAACGATAATTTATTATTTGATGACTTTGTATATTTGGAATAATGTATCACTAAACTATTTGACATACACATATGATACTTTTTACACTCTGCAAAATATTCATATCAACCTATTCACACCATGCATATTAGGAACCCTAGAATATTCTAGAGTTTAAGACTTTCATACTATACATGATTACTAATCCACAACCATGTTTGAGTATGCTTACAGGGCTCAGATGCAAGTGGCTTACCATTTTGATTCAAATTCATCATTAAGAAGCTAATATCACTATTATACATGTTTAAACAATTAAACACACTTAGTGTCACATAATTTTTACAAATAGCCTCTCTTTCATTCTAACAATTGTATTAGCAAACTTTTCTTCAAAATTTGATTAACAACTTTTTTTTTACCTTATAAAAAATATATATTTAATAAAATCTCTAGACTCAATGATCGTAAGATTTGTACTATCTAATGCTCTTAGATCGATTTTCATCAACATTAAACGTAGATTAATCTTTTTAATTATTAATTTTTGAATACTATGTAAATCATATTTATAATTTAAAAAATTCAATAAACTCACTCAACTAGATCAATATTAAATTAATTAGGTAAAATTTAACTTATTTACGATTAAGTTATAATCAAGAATCATATCATGTACAATAGTTTAAGAAAAAAAGTTGAGCTAAAAAAAATAAAATAAGTTTTCTTAATAGTTAGATAATTTTTTTAAGTACTTCTAGAAGGAAAAATAATAATTTTATTTCTAAATTAAAATTAATTTATTCATAAATTAAAGATTTTTTTTTGAATATTTATAGTGCATAAACTAATTATATATATATATATAAGTTTATTTTATTTTTATGTTTAATCTTATAAATTCTTATAAGTTTATATACAAATATATCCTAATCCTATTTGACTCAATATGATTACTTGATCTAGCGACACTAATTTGAACATTTTGTGATGATAAAATAAATAATTATAGATAATGTCAGTTGATTTAAGAGATAAAGAATTCAATTACTTAGAATAATAATTAAATCTTCTGTAAAAAAAATAATAATTAAATCTTATAGGTAAAAAAAAATCCAATTACTTACAAAGAAAAGTTTTGAAATATTAATGATTAAAAAGGGTATTGAAAGAGGGTTACGTCTCTTTAAATGAGTTAACTCAAACCAACTTATATCATTAATTAACATTTTTTTTTTAAAATCAAGAATGGACCAGTAATTTG